TTTGTTTTTGTACAGCTCTTTGAAGCAGAGGCCTGTTTGCCGTTCCACTTACTTCTAACCTGATTACCCCAGGTATGAAAACTATCATTGAAAAGAATCTTATTTGATTATTTCTCTTTGCTTACCTTTTTGCACTCGACTGTCTTATTTCGCAATCCCTGTTGCTCCTGCACAGGTTTGTTTTTGTAAAGCTCTTTGAAGCAGAGGCCTGTTTGCCATTCCACTTACTTCTAACCTGATTACCCCAGGTTTAATCAATCTTAACGGCAAAGCCACATATTCAAGAGCTTCTCACAACTTCACATAATATCCTGCACCTGAGACAATTACAACTAACAATTGTAATTCATTATCCTTTTAGTTACTTGCAAAGAATAAAAAAATAAACTCTTAGAGCTTGACACGTAGAAGAAGCTCCTTGAAGTATACATTTTGTAAGTATGATTCAACCTAAATTCATATATATCTCCACCCCTTTTTAATTTAGGCTTACAAAACTGGATGAGGCCAGCCTCAAGACTACTTTGTGTTACTTCATAGCTGATTGTGATCTCCCCTTTGTAATTGTTGACAAGCCATTCTTTCAAAGGATTTTGACACTTTGCAATCCTCATATTGATGGGATACTTGTCAAGCAACATGCAATTGACAAACATATGCGCAAGATTGACTATCACCACAAGGAATACATCAAGAAGATTTATTTTGGCCCTTGCAACTTTTCATGTATCTCACGGGAAAGCCCTTGGTATCTCAGAAATCAAAGGTAAGATATTTCCTGTTTAATTGAATCATTTTGACTTCACTGACACAGGATTTCATCTTTCAGGTGCACATCATTGCTAGCATCACCATCTTATTTCTGGAAAGGTAAAATATAACCAAGAAGTTCAGGCAATGACCACAGATAAGCTCAGTACAAGTGGTGCAATTGGTCAAGCAATCAGATTGTCAGACGGTGCCAACTTCAATCACAGGTCCAGGGGTGTGTAGCTCATGTGATTAAGCTTGCCGCCAAAGAAGGCTTAAAGTTATTAAGTGAATTCCTTGATGATGATGATGATGATGATGAAATTAAACAATTATCACTAATGCCATGGTCTGGTGTCCTGTACCCAAGCTAGCCCTCAAAATGCTCCCTATCCTTCAAGAGCTGCCCAAATTCAATCCAAATATTCTGCTCTGCAATACCTGTTTGAAGATCCAACTGTCAACCATATTCAGACACCCCAACCCAATACATCCACTGGCACCATAAGTAAACTCATTGTGGACACTCCAACACAATGAAATGTTTCTTATCACATGTTCCAAAGACTTCTGCATCTACAAAATTAATGTGATGAGTTCTGCAAGGGCCAAGACTTGCAGAAGTTTGCTCTGAGACCCCTTGAGCGTGTTTATGTCAAACAAATGTGCAACAACTTCTTGGAACCACTCAGCCAATCAACTGACACAGGGGCAAAAATAGATGCTCACATTGAGGTGAGCAATGAAATTTTCTTGTTCTTTTCAATGTTTATTTTTACTTCCAAATTCTTTCCCTTTGATTCCTCTTTTCTTCCTGCTTGTCAGCTGACTACACAATCAACAGGAACTGAGCAGATGACCTAGGACTTCCTCAGGCTTCATTCCTTAGCAAAGAAGCCTGAGGTAGGGCTGGCCCATCTGCTCACTTCATCTCAGCCCCTCAGCCAATCCTCAGAGGCATTCCTTGTAGCCTGCTGATCCAGGATTTTGGACAAGTTTCTGAGTTGTTCTGAGTATTCAGTGACTCATGAACTGATTCAGAGTACTCATTTGAGAGACTGGGCTCAAAGAATTCTCATCCAAGATGGAAATGAGCATTCTCCAGCCGGGTACAGCAAAATTGGAGCAAAATAGCCTGATCACCTGAGCACTATCAAAATTGTCAATTGAAGGAATCTGAAAGAAAAACAATCCTTTTGGGAGCATTCAGGGAAGTGTACAATGCTCACCTGTATGTGAGCATCAATTTTGTCACTGTGTGAGATAATTTGCAAGTCAAAGTTCCCAACAATGCATTGGGTAGTTACAATCTACATTGTAGTGTTAAAATGATTAAAATTGGCGAGTCTCATTTTTCAAAATCACAGATTGCATTCTGCTAATTTGATTGAATGCATAGATTTTTCAACAATACAATCACAATCAATTAGCCACTGCTTCCAAAAAGATGGTTGACAAACTCAAAACTTACTTCAAGAAGGTGCTTGCCAAAGCCAGTCCTATTTGTGCCACCATCCTGGATCCATGTCACAAGTTATATCACTGTCAAGTGAGTGGCTTTCAAATCTTTCTGCTCTAAATTTTCACTGATCAACATTTGTATTGACTAAAAGGACCAAGCCATGATCTTCTTTGACTATGACCTCTACATCCCGGACATCAGGTTAGTGTTGGAAGAAGAGGCCAGCAAACACAAAATTGATGAACCCATTCCCGCTCAGGAAATCACCAGAAAACACACTGTGGTGATGTCAACTTCCCAATATTTTGAAGAAGCAATATTTGGCACCAGAGACACTCCACAGCTGCACTCAATTTCCAAGGAGATTGCTCATTACCTTGGCAATAATGCCAAATCCTGTTACACTGATGTGTTAGACTTTGGGAAATGGTGAGTGAACATTTATCCTGCATTTGCCAACATGGTGATGGTTTTTCTGGCAATACTGACAACTAGTTGTCTGTGAGAGGGTCAATTTATCAAAACTAAAAGGATCTTGAGTCCCCAGTGCTCTCATGTCATCATGTTGGGACTCTTTTATGTGTGAAAGATTGGCACTGGGTTTTGGGGCATTCAAAAGTTTCTAATCTCACTGTGAGTGATGGTGAGGATAGTGCTTACTTCTCTCATCTCTTGTCCTGTTTTTTTCAATCATTTGTTATAGGGCTGTGACCCAGACCCAGCCCAGACCAGCTGACCCTGCCCAACAGGATCTTCAAAGCTGACAGTACGTGACCTGTCACAGTGGAGCCTAGTCACAAACGCCCTGGAGGCACACCAGAGGCCCTGCTTTCCTGGGTGCCAAATGTTTTTTTGCTTGATAAACAAAAAAATTGAGCTTTTTCTTCCAACATAGGCCCACGATAGCTCTATTTGATGTTCAAGTAGGCTCATATAGCCTTGAAATAAAGTTTCATATGAATTTTATGGCAATATAGGTTGGAATCATTGCATTTTGACCACATTTTTGCACCTGCAAAGTGTTCAAGGTGTGCCCAGGTTGGCCCTGAGTGGTTTTTGGATTTTTGGCGGCAGCCAGCCCTGGAATTTCAGGGCTGGGTCACCGCCCTAATTGGGTATTTGCTTCATTTTTGAATACACTAAGAACACACCAATACGCACCTGCAATTATATGAAATATCTGTCAGATATCCAGTCATGATTAGGTCAAATATGCACTATATGTCTAGGACAAGGGCAATTCAGTTGTTAAGTTTTGTTAGAGTATGTCAGATTGGCTTGAACATGTTAACGCGGTTTTATTCCAAAGAGCATTTTTACCTCAATATTTGACTGCCAAATTGGCCAGAGTATCTGGCTACCAAAGGCTCCAAGGGCCCATCCAACATCTGGATCTGGCAGATGCTCTCACAAATACCTTGGAGCTCTGGGTGCAGAGCTTGGCTTGGCTCCCAACTAGCTCTATGTAGCTCTCACCCTCCAAATTCAATGTTACACATCACATGATGGCTGGTTCTGAAATCAAGTTGTCTTTATTGGTGACACCATGGGCATCTATTAGGGCACGTTTGGTATAGCTTATTTTAAGCTACTTATGTCAAAATTTGACTTTCATAAGTCGAATTTCAAAATGTCCGTTTGGCATTGACTTTTTGAAACTTTTCAAAGCTACTTATGGGACCCATAAGTAGCTTATCTTGCTACTTATAATAAAGAGCCAAAGAGCTCATTATTTTCCAATTAAGCTACTTATTTGACCCAACGTCTCGATCTCTTTTCTTTTTTTTAAAAATCTACAAGTCCCATCTTCCATACCCCCCTGTCCGCACTTCAACTCACATCAACGTCGTCGTAAAAAGAAACCTCGATTCACTCAGTTGTTTTTTTAAAATCGTACATCTCGCATCTTCCATACCCCCTTCCTATCTTTGATTCACTTCAACGTTGTGGTCAAATATCACTGTTGATACTCAATTCATCATCTCTCATCTTCACACACAACATCCAAAAGTCATGATATGGACACAATATACTTCATCCAATGTCATTAAAACATTGGAGTTAAACTTTGAATTTGCAAGACAAACAACATTGATGATTTATTGTGAAAAGTTTTCCAATTTATATGTCAATCCAGGAATTGATCGAATCTCTAGAGAAGAAAATGGTTTGTAAAAATTAAAGCAATCGGTGGTTCTGGAACTAGAGATGAAATGAAGAGAAGTGAAAGTTGAAGAAAAAGTGAAAAGATTTGGAACGGTCAACCAGATTTTGGCTGCCAAACGAAATTCAGCTTTTATGTACTTTTAAGTTGACTTTTTGATGAAAGTCAACTTAAAACAAAAATCGACTTTCCGGGGTCGGAAAGTTTGTACCTTTTAAAAGGTACAAAATTTTGTAAGCTGTACCAAACTTGCCCTTAGGCTCAATCATATGTGAAACTTAATGTGGTGAAAGATCTCACAATAAGTCTCAAATGTGGATTGAAACTTATTAAAATCCAAGGTCCCCCTTGCCTTTGATAGGTTTCAATCCAAAAATTGAGACTTATTGCAGACCGGGACACTGCAACTTCGCTCAATCCGGTTTTGAACATAATGATTCCTGCCGTGTGAACATGCATCTAAAATATGCAAGCGTGGCATGGCAAGTTGCATGGACATACAACAAAGACACAAATGGTTTTTGAACAGAATGGTGATATGGGCACTGTGTTTACATACATAATCACTTTTCTCTATTGGAAGACCAGACAACACTCAGGCGTAAATTTGACAGGCCGACATTTTTATCTCTTGATCTTCTTCAACAATTCACGTTCCCACTCAAGTAGGCCATCCTCCTTACTTCTAGCCTCAATTGCACCGTCACGCTCGGCCTGAAGGGCGCGTTCGAATACCTCCCATTCGATACAACCTAAGCCATTCGTACCCGGATGTAGTTCCTGATCAGCTTCCAGTGCAAATTCTCCTTGACGGGTGCGAGTCAGCGAGACCACAGTGGCGGCACTCGACACAGCTTTTCCGATGTCGCTTTAATACATAGTTTGTAGATTTGGTACAAGAGTTGAGAATAAGAATGAGTTATATGACGATGCTGGCCCACTTGATACAAGATTTCAAAACTTATGATCTGATGAAACTCACTGCACGATGGTCCTGACATAGGTTCCAGATGAGACAGTCATCTCCAATGTGAATGCGGGAGAGAGGCCATTATCAACCATCGTCACTGGCTTGTTGTTGGGTCTTTCTGACGGCGCATCTGTAGGAGCATTGTCGATGGATGAGTCCACGGCTGGCTGTGCAGATATCTCGTCTGCTTTGAACTTCTTGATACCCAATGAGCCCGACTCCCCATCGAGTAAATCAGGCGAGTGGACTCTCTTAGCGGGGAGCGACGGAGAACTTGCGACTGGATCCACGCCTTCAGTAAGTTCAGGCTTTGTCACTCCTTTCTCGGCGATCATGGTACGTAGTTTATCGAACATCATTTGATCCTCGCTCGTGATGAATTCAGTTGGCCACTTATACGAATGGCTTCCGCCCTCTTGCCAATTCACCATTTTGATCTCGGGTATTTCACATCGTCTAGCTTCGATCGGCCTTGGAAGAGGTAAGTTGTTGCGGGCGTATTCATACAAAGGCTTGCCATCCATCTTCAACGCGGAGTAACTGAGGTATCAAATTACTCTGGACTCAGCGATTTCCCATGACCCAAGTTTGAGAACTTCTGAATCTCCAGAAGATGAGAACAACCATTTAACAAAAATATAGATAAAAAATTGCAACAGGTCACCAACATTGGGGGTATTTGCCATCCAGGTCCTTGCATCGCTTTACACTGAGCTTCGATATCTGTAGGTTTGACGCCTTCCCATCCGACCAATTTGACAACTTTACCCATTTGATCGTACGAATCAGTCTCGCAGCCTAACAAGCCTATGGTTCGGTAGGACTTTGTACAATCTAAGAAAGCTGACAGCTTTTTAGTAGCTGAGCTCAATCCCACTACTAATACACCACTGGCCAACGGGTCCAGTGTACCTCCTTGGCCCATCTTGACTAAGGGTTTTCGTCGGCCTTTACCACGCTTGTTCTTAGACTTGTTGGTATAAGCCTCATAATCGGCGTTGAAGAGAGGCGAGCGACAGAACAGGGACTGAAGGGAGTTGAGAAGAGACATAGAGACCATCCCACTCGGCTTGTTGATGGCGAAGAGACCTGCCAGCGGTGTTTCGAATTGTTGTACAAGACGATCAGAGGCTGGCTCGGTACAAGGGCCTGGTTCAGCCATTCGGATGATGATAGAAGTAGGACGGATGAGATTATGAGTCCTAAGGTTGATGTTGGCAGGAATAGTCGATGACACTGTGGAGTAAAACTTGAACCGACTGGCGATCATGAGATGTAAAGACGTGAAGCGGTTTGCAAACCTTTTCGTTTCTCGCGCCGAACACGGGATCTGGTCTCAACACCCCCATAAACACATACCTAAAGCCATACTTGACATCTTCATCCTCTGGATTCTGCACAGTACTCTCGGAGTCGAAGCTTCCCGGTAAAAACTTGAGACCGCTAATCTAGCCTTTGAATTAGAATATGTTTAAATCTTAAAAACGATTTTTCAGGCTTGGACACAAAGCCATTGGCTGATGAATATCGACCAAATTATAGGAATCTGTTGAATTCTCCGCATGAGCAGGTGTCTGGTTTCTCGTTGAAGACACGGGCAAGGGTCCGAAAGGGCATCAGCCAATACGATTTTCTAGCCAACATGATCAATTCGTGACTTGAGGAATTGACCCAGGACTCTCCATCAAGTTTGCTATATAAATTTTTTTGCGATGAACTTACAATATCCTAGTTGGGATAGTTTACTTAACGCTGGTCATTCTACTGCTAGTAAAGCTACTCTTGTTCTTCACTTCTTCAGATATATCATTTACCCAAAGATGCGTGATTCGAAATGGCAAGTACTCATTTGATTTCAAATTCACTGATCCTCTGGTTGATAAAATCGACGTTTCCCAAAAATATAAGCTTTGACTTGCTATACACTGATATCTTATGTAAAAGATCAATAGTGACGCAGAATTCATGGACCTACGTGAGGCAGCACAGGTATGGGTGTAAAGCTTCTTGCTAGATAGTTCAGAGCCTCATGAATTTTGGCCATACTCTGATGCCTGAAAGTTGTATGTATATAGCACAAGGCTAAGTTTAGCTGACTGGATTTATATAGCGAGAGATGATGATACAACACAGACAACCAAACAAAAGATAATAACAATCATATCATGCCTTTACAATTCCTGTGAATCAGCACGTCCCGATGTGTTCTTCCAGCCTCGGTATAATTTCCACAGACGAACTCCAAAGGCTGAGTGACTGGCTGTGAAGTCTTGGAATGGTGAAGAGGATCGAACACTTTCGTCTTCAAACTCTGCATGATGGTCAGAGACATTAGCACGAATCCATGTACATCATAGTAGAAAGTAGACTTTCCAAAGAGAGCCATACATGTGGATACCCTATCTTTCGCGCTCGACGATTCTTGACTGACGGCACCGACGAGAGAATGATCGATGATCTTGCAGGTTTGGCTACCCTTGCAACTTGGATGAGTGTTTAGCATGTTTTGAAGTTTCATAAATGCATCATCGAAAGCCGGGCACTCCACGGTTATGACCACTGGACTATATCTCGTATCTTTGATATCGCACTCAATCTGTATGACTTGATAGGCCCTTCGGTCTAGAGCGTTAATACGGGCAAAGATCCCGGCTTCTCTTGGTGATCGATATTTCCTTAAGTCGGTGTACTTGGACTGGTTGAAAAGATCCGAGACAGAAATGTTATAGAAGGCAGAGAACGAAGGTTGTTTCTCATCAATAGCTACATAGCGCGCGCCTGTTAAAAACTCCGGCATCCTATTGAGCCATTTTTTCACCAAACACAACTTGCGAGGTCGTAAGCGGGATGTCTTCAGAGTCTTTGTGGAACGAAGAGAATATCTCACGTAGACATCCTTAGTGGAACATGTTCGTTATCGTACCAATCTGATGGGATGAAAGTTCAGGGAGATTTGAATCTCAGTGATCAACTTCAATTACCGCCTTGCCCACTTACCATGAAACTCGTCCAGTGTGACCACAGCCCCGGGTTCAGTAAGTACCCAGAGAAAGGCTTCAGGCTGTAGGGATACTGCGATGCTCATCGGGAGTGATTGTGTCTGTTTTTTGAATGTAGTACGATGATGATGATTGGAGCGGTGATGGTCAAGCATGGATAATGTAATGACTCGAGCCGATCAGTGACGTCATGCCACCCAGTGTATAACGCCGATCTATGGATACAAAGTTGGTTATGCTCACATTCTCTGTGCTTTGGACTGTTATGAATCTAGAACACATTTCCCGAGTCGATAGAGACAAACACTTCCAAATCAGCATCACACAGCCTCTTGCCCGTGAGCATTATAAGCAGCCAAACTTAACATAACTCCCAGTCTGGACCCTTTCCAAATAACAATCACACAACGTGTATTGATTTTTTATGACGGACCACAATTGATAAGATACGGACCACAATCAAGCAAGTCACGTATATTATTGAGAATAGACACGGTGTTTTAATAGCAGATGACCAACATGGAAACAAGTGACCCAACAGTTACAATTGATCATAAATGATGGCCCCCATGAAAGAGTGACCCAAGAGTGACCATTATTCATAAATTTGCTCCTCATTGTGATTGTTGTATTGCTCTCAATAGAGGGAAGTGGCATAACCACAGTATGCAATGAGCGGTTGTGAAAGAGGCTGAGTCATCACCTTAGCAGCAAGTAATAGAAGGTTTTCTCCCTTGTTGTCTTGCTCAGAGTCATACCATGCCTCTTCCCAGCGTAATTGAGCCTTCATGGTGTGAAAGGCATTCTCAATAGGATTCATGTCTGGGGAGTATGCAGGCAAATAAACCAGGAGACACCTGCTTCCTTGCATAGACATTGAATCAGACCCCTGTGGTGGATATGAGCGTTGTCCAAGACAATAACTGAGTTGATACCCAGATAAGGATTCATGATTGGCAGCTAGTACAGATACAGAACTGCCAACATATTGACCTTGGATTGGGAAATCTGAGGCGTTCCCGGATCTGAAACCTTGGACAGGAGCTTTCCGAGGTTTTGATCCAAGGTAATCTTTGGGGCATAATTATACCTCGGACAGAAACACCGGATAAGCTCTGTCCAAGGATTTGCATTTGACAAATTGAGAGATCCAAGGCATCTATGTTGGTGGTGCAGATAGACATGCAATGCAAATTAGTCATGCATACAAGATTGGTGATGGATGGATACAAGAATGGAATAAGAAAAGATGATCATGAGAAACTTACCAGATCACAAGCAAGCTAAAGAGTTCAACATGGACCCTTTCAACGGGTCCTTTGACAACCACCCCAGCTATCATCCCTTGCTCACATACTTCCAGGACAACAGTCCAATGATCCTTTTCCATGTATTGCTTCTGGCACATGCTTCAAGATCCCTTTGGGGTCCAGCTCTTCTGTCAAAGAGAGTTGTAGCCCAATACCATTAATTTAGGTGCCCTGTTGTGGTGATCAATTTATGGTATCAATCAAAGAAAATTAATCATTGGTTGTTTACCAAGTCATTATGAAAATTCAGCATAGAGGGAAATTTGAAATTGAAGGAATCTGATCAATTGAAGCTCTTGTAGGCTTATGTATTGCTCAATATGTCATGATTAGGTCATCTCATTTCAAACAACTTATTAATATCAGTACACACTATTAACAAATGAATCACAAAAAGAAAATAAAGAAAAACATAAGAAAATTTGGGTATACAGGCTTGGAAATGGTTTTCAGGGTATTGTTGTTAGGTTTACGGGTATTGTGAGGTTGAAATATGAAAGAACATCATTATATTATTCAGTAACAACTTTAATCTTGATGTTTGATGAGGAGGAATAGAAGTTATCAAGGAAATGGTACTTTTTCAAAGTTGGTAAACAAGGGTTGTATATAAAGTTCTCGTCAAAATTGATCTCTAGATTCGTAAAGAATACTGAGACGACTTCACTGCTAAGATACGAAATAGTATAGAAAGGATACCTGAAGGCACAGGTTCCGCGTTAGACTATAGCGTATCTGCTAGTCAACAACGAGAACAAGAAACTAACTTGCGGACTCGTGATAAAATGAAAGAGGACACATAAGGTAAAGGTTAAGAACAGAAAACAAATTTATAATGATTCTTTTTGACACCCACCTGAAGGCACAGGTTCCGCGTTAGACTATAGCGTATCTGCTAGTCAACAACGAGAACAAGAAACTAACCCAATCAACAAAGAAAAAACAAGGGATCGAAAAGGAAAGATGATGATCAGATAAAAGTAACTACTTGATAAAAGAAAGCTCAAAGTGAATCTACCTGCGGACTCGTAATAAAATGAAAGAGGACACGTAAGGTAAAGGTTAAGAACAGAAAACAAATTTATAACTAGGATGAGAGTAATAGCAATATCAGTTTAAGATCACAATCAGTATCTAAGACAAAGATGAAAAACTTACTGATTCTTTTCGACACAAAAAGAATCAGAAAAAGAGGAAAAAGAAATTACAAAGAGACAAGAAAACCCCAATCAAAATCTTCCTTCACCCCTTGATTCAATCTTCCACATTTTAGCCCCTTTGTCAACCATCTGATTTTTCACTAATAATACACCTCACTCCACCCACTGCTCAACTCTCTTAACCACCACTTAAACTACCAGAACTACTTAATTAGGAAAAAATGATCTTTGACCACTTTTACCAAGATTGTATCTTAACATTTTACAGGTAGTTGACTTATGCAATGGTGGTATTAGTAATATTTAAGGTTGGCAAGAGGATTTTCCGGGATTCTTAAGGTTATAGATGATGATGGAATAGTACATGGGCAAGAAAGAAGGAGTAGCAGCTGTGTCAAGTGGTAAAAATGGGTGGATTTTGTCAAAAATCAAGGTTTTCAGCTGATTACAGATGTCAAACAACGTCAGAATTGGATGGTAGATGGCTCATTCAACGCAGAAGAGTAGATTACATAATTTAAAACCTTTAAATCACTAGTAACAGAGGTGTGTGAAAGAAGTTATAAGGGAAACAAGAAACTGGTGTGGATTTCAAAATTTACACTTACATGCATACATGTAACAACATTTACATACAAAAACCTTAACTTCACAACTCAATAACTCATTCATTACTCGTCAAAAATACTTTAT